AAAATATTGCTTTATTAACTTTTGGTTGAGAATATGTTTGTATATTTTCAGAAAACAACTCTGAGACCACGTAGATTCTGGCAACAGAGAGGAATTGATAGGACTACTCCAACCATGAAGACAGAAGAGAAGCAGTCCAGAGATGGAAGATGCTGACAACATCTTGCCATAATAGCAGTCAGCAGCTGTGTATCACTGCAGGTTGCCCAGGACCAAACCAGAGAGGGTTGGACCTGCATCACCACCATTTGTCCACCATCCAGAACTGAAATATCATTGCTGACATGTACACATAAGAAACTGTTTGACATTAAAATTGGGTCTCAAAAGAACTGTTGCCCAAAAAGTAACTCACTACAGACTGATTCATATGCCTTTCAGGATAACGATTATTGCTTGTCTCATTTTTTATTCTTATATTTCCAGTAGGACATGATCTCACTCATCTAAGGGAAATGATGAACAACATAGACTAATGAACAAGAACAGACCCAGAAGGAGCCATGGGTCAGACTGTTGGACCTCAAAGGGAGGGTGGGGATAAAAGGGAGAGATCAACCAAAGGACTTACATGCATACATATGAGCCTAATCAGTGGTCAAGGACAATAGGGGGGTGGGGGCATCAGTGGGAAGGGGTGGGGGATTGGAATGGGGGGTTGAGGACAAATATGTGATACCTTAATCAATTAAAAAATAAAGAGGAAAAAAAAGTAAAAGCATGAAAAGGTCTATACAATGTATTATACAAAATCTTCACAGAGAATAAACACATTAAAGGTCTTAAAGAAAATAAAAAATTAAAAAAGCTCACCAACTCCAAATCTAGAGCACTGTGGTAGGGTTTTTCAAGTCAAGTAAAATCACAGTATGATAAACATCCCTATAAATACTCTTTCTGACAAAACCATTTTCATATCCCAGAATATTACCTGGTAATTTTTCTGTATGTGGTCCTTTCTTTGGTTATGATCCATGTAATCTTGGAAGTACATTTCCTAAGAAAATAGTAGAGCTGGGCAGAGAAAAAACTAGTTATCCTGAACATCAGCAAAGCTTAATATTTCAATTTATTTCTACTCTAGAATAGTTAGCTTTTAACTTTACTAATCCATTTCTACCATAAAATCCTTAAACACTAAATAAGATTAAAAAATATATATTATATATCAAATAAAGTACTTATGACCTCCATTTTTACTTGATTCCAAAATACTTTTCAAATGTACTGACTATAAGTGATTTCTAATAATATATTCAGATTAATAAAAGCCTCAATAATAAGAATGTTTGCTAACTTAAAACAATTAGGTTGCCTCTATGCTCTACTTTGTTTTCTTCATAACAGATACCTATTGATTTTGTCTGTGCAATACCTATTCACTCACTTTCTGATAATTCTATTTTCATTTCCTTTTGGGTAACACTCCTTCTATAGCATTTCTCAGTCAATGTGTCTTCTGAAAGGGGGAGAACAGCTTTCCTTTGGCAGTAATAATTGGCTCAGGGATGGGTACTTCATAACTGTAATTTTGCTACTGTTATGAATCATAATGTAAATATCTGTGTTTTCCAATGGTCTTAGGCGAACCTGCTAGCAGTTTTCAATCTGTGGGTCACTGCTATAGAGCCTAAGACCACTGAAAAACAGATATTTACATTACAATTAATAACAGTAGCAAAATTAGTTATGAAGTAGCAACAAAAATAATTTTATGGTTGGGGGTCACCACATGAGGAACTGTATTAAAGGGTCACAGCATTAGGAAGGTTGAGAACCACTGAACTATGTAATAATTCAGACTTAACCCCCACCTTAAATCTGATTCTCCTAGACAGGGCCTTTTAACCATCGTTCATGTCCAGATCTTCTCACTGTTCCTAAAGCTAGTGCTCAGCATGTGTTTCTTTGCCTTATCTTGACTGGTAGCATCTTCCAGTAAACAGAGCACCATTAACACCACTTTGTGAAACCCCTTAAAGCTCACAGAACAACATAAGCTGTGAGATATATGCCCCCCACCCAGGATGGCAAAGTTTTTCACCTAAAGTTGGAGTAATAGTTTCATTTATGTGAACATAATAGTAGAACTTCATTCTTAAACAGGAATAAAATGATTCCGTTTCTTTCCCTTGGTTTACTAGTGGCATTCACTTTAATTAATTGCTCCATTAAGTAGTTCATAGAAGTGTAAAAAAAATTGTTTCAACTTTCATTAAAGAAAACTTAGATACTTCCTGGTATGTGCTCTTTACAGGGGTTTCAAACAAAGCAAAACAAAACCAAAAGCATATTCCTATAGCTCTGTTTCTCCCATATGCTAAACTAAGTGAACTGGATTTTAAAAATTCCTATTTCAAATTAAGTGAGTGGCATGATCTTACCCATGATGAGAGGAAAGGGTTAAGAGCAAGTTTAAAAAAACTACCTTTATTTTTTATTTCATTTTCAGTTACATACTTTTAAACAGGGATGTGTTTCATTATTCAGACATTCAGGCAATGTTGACTCATTAGTGTTGACAGAAAAGAAGCATAAAAATGCAAAACGTTGTTGGCTTAACCTGAACATACCTGCATTACCTATTATTGACCAGTCTGTGCTGCCAACTTGGCATTAAAATGGAGCAATTAAAAATATTGCTAGAAAGCAAATGTGTACACACTGGTCTTTGCAGCAAATAAGGGTATTTATACTTTAAAATATTTTAAGTCCATAATTGGATTAATATACACACCTTCTTATGTATAAGGAGTTCAGATCATATAAACACTATACAGTCCAAAAACCCTACTGAGAATAAAACTAAATAGGCTTATGATAAGAAATACAGATATCGCATGTATTTACAAGTATCAGAGACACACATATTTGGTCAAATACTGTAAAGAAAGAAGTGGTTTCACATTATAATGGCCAAAACATCCATCTACTTTGCTCAAAGCAAACAAAAATAACAACTCGGTATGTGACTCCTGCAGTTTAAAGACACCTTGATGGTATAGAGATAAGATGGAAACTGATGACCAAATTATACAGCAAATGTTTCCTAGGCTGAGTTAAGGTCTTTAAAATCAAGAACTTAAAAAGATCTTCATAGGATTCAGAGCAACAGTGATAAACAATGTCCAGATTTGCGGTATTCTCGTATGGGTGCCTAATTCATCAAAAACAATGCATTGAACTTTTGGCTAACGAGAAAAATAAATTACAAAGTACAATTAAATCCCTGTAAATGCAATAATGAAGTCAAAAATGTAGATTTATTTACTTTAATTACACATTTTAAATGTTACCTTGAGACAATAAAAATAAATAAGCGTGCCTGGAGGCTCGCACTTAAAGACAAAGAAGGGGCCGCAAGGAAGGAGGAAGTAACAATTTGATAAACAAAAAATGAATATGAGATCTGAACAACGTAATTCTTCCTAGCCGTCTTTTTATTTTAAATCTCCTTGAAAATCTTGGCTGGAAGGATGTGACAAAAGAATACCTGCCTTTATGGCTTAAAACAAAGCATACTAAAAAAAAATGGAATGGGTTTCCTTTTTTTTACAGAACCGTAACTTTGTTCATATGCAGGCACTTTAACAGACTATGAAGGCAAAGCACCTGACCCATCCTGTCCAAAATAGTTTTCAATCATCAAAATGAGGCTAAAACATCAGAAAACTCCAGAGAGCCAGCAAAGTGGAATACAAGACACTAATGTGCACAGAGGGCAATAAAGTGACCCAGTTTTTATTGCTGGGGATCTTTTTTTTTTTTTTATCAAAAAGCAAATAATTAACAAACAGACACCATTGAGTGGCACATTCAAAGTTTTCTGCTTAAGGGAGAATGTAATCATTCAGCAGTGGGTTTCACTGGGATCCCCTTGACTTCAACATTATACATTGCAATGAGATTCACATTTATTTCTTCTCCTTAGTGTATTTAAAAACAAAACAAAACAAAAAAACCTCCCACATAATCTCATTTCTCAAAGTATTCATCTCTTGCTGTCTAACACACATTATCTGGAAGCATAAAGTTACATTATACAAATGTTGCATTTTTAAAAATAAGTGCTTTCTGCCACTTCAGCAACACTGTACTTCACATAGTGGTGCCACAAAAGCAAAGCTCAACTCAACTACCTTGGCCGGGTAGCTCAGCTGGTTAGAGTATTGTCACAATATGCCAAGGTTGCAGGTTCGACACCCGGTCAGGGCACAAACAAGAATCAACCAATGAATGCATAAATAAGTGGAACAAGTCAATGTTTCTTTCTCCCTCCCTCTCTGTCTCTCTCTCTCTCTAAGCAATAAATAATTTTCAACAATAAAAAAAAAAAAGCAGAACTAGTATTTACCACATTATTTGTTATTCATTTTACCTTTACCACCTGCCAAACCCATAGAGGTTTTTCCTCAGTACCTCTGGGCAGGGACTGTACCATGATTTCAGAGTGAATTTTAGTATGACTCACAAATAGCAGTACCATCAGTAATGCTGATATCAATGCAGATGTCACACCAACAATGAACTTCTCAAGAAATAACTTCTTTAAATATTTGGGCACTCCATTTCCTTTGTTATGTTATCCATTGGGGAGAAAATTCCTGTTTGATTATGCTCTTATAGGAGTTGTAAAAGACCAGATCAGGTATGTAACTGGTTGACATGTAAGATACTGTACTGCTTTCCATGGCAGGAAGAGAGCTTCTGAAAATGTCCTCTAAGACTGTTTTTACCAATCCTATCTCATCGGTCCATTCCATTCACTGATGGGCAAAGCACTCATGTTTTGACAAAACTTTAAAGCTTCCATAAAAATTAAATTAGGAAAAAAAAAAAATGTGAATGTAAGACAACCACACAATGAAGTATGAAAGTATGACATTTTTGTTTCTAAGAGTGAGTCCTTGAAAACATATGTGGTCACTACACGAGATGATTTTCATCACAAGACAGAAGATGAACACGCAAGTAACTCCCCCTGATCTGCCTGTGTCCAGTCACTTGTGGCGCTGTATAGTTTTCCTTTTCCTTCGTTTGAAAAAACAGCAGCACCTGCAGATAGAAGGAAACACTTTTTAAATATAAAAGTACTAAAATGTCACAAAGTACGGCTGACTCTAATCATATGAATTTAAATGGTCCTAAAAAGCAACAGGCTAGTGCAAGGTGAACAGGGAACATGCCAGTGAAGCATAGATATTAGTGAACTATGGCAGAATTATTGCTGTTGTTTTATCAGCGTGCCTTTTAGAAAGAGCAAGACAACCTAAGCAACAGCAAAAGGAGTCACTAAGCTGAAAGGCTTTGTACAAAGACCAATTGGGAGCAAAGGGGTTCTGAATCTTAACTGATCCACTGTAGTAGTATTTCAGATACTCATTAATCTCTGGCTTTGGCATGCTTTTATATAACTCATCTTGTGGATTCTCTCCCTTTCTTCCTGGTATTTATACATGATTGTTGAAATCGTTGTTAGAAAAACAATAATGATATTAATATTGGGGATTTTGTTTTCACTAAGAATTCATTTCAATTGCAAAAAAGAAAAAAAAATCTAAAATAAGCTCTTCAGCAAACATTTTCCATCACACAAACTGGAGGAGAGAAAACATACAAAGTAGAGTAAGAATGTTATTGGCACTTTTTAATTTTTTAAGGGTTAAAGAAGGTCAAGTGTATCGTGTTATTTTAATTAAGGTAAGAATTATAGTCAACATTTAAAATATCACAATCAATGTGATTCAGTTTTGTATTTGAAAAATTATTCAGTTTTGTAGTATATGAAGGAAATATGGTACTGTTTTTTATTCCTAGGCAAAAAAAAAAAATCTAGAGATGATCCCTGAGAGAACTACCTTTTCTGAGGGTAAATTTCCCTAGTCATGAGATGAAACACATGCAACCCATGTCAGGAAATACTAGGCTGGAAGGAACTGAAGATCCATGAGAATGAGAATCACTGGTCAGCAATCAACGAAGCTATACACATGTGTATGTGTGTGTGTGTGTGTGTGTGTGTGTGTGTGTGTATCACATATACATGAATATATGTACACACATATATATTGTGTCCTCAAAAGTGTATACACAAACTTTGAGCATTTATAAAAACAGTGTTTATTAAAATACATTTCATTTTCAATATTGAGCTATCAGCTGGTAAAGTGTGTACACACACACACACACTCATATCCCCAAAAAGTCTGGCATTCCTTTCAAATAAAGGTCTAATTTTTCTCTCCCACACTTAAGAAAAAATTCAATCTATCCAATCTATGGGAATATAAAGATGATAGGCACTACATAAAAAGGGGCTCCTTTTTTTTCCCCACTGAAGCCGTGTGTGTGTGTGGGTGTGTATATGTGTAAATGTGTAAATCACATTTTGTAATAAAATCACAGGTATATACCTGGTGATTCCATCAGCAAAATGCTGCCAATTCAAAGCTACATTATGGGGACCTTACAAAGATATTCCCGTAATTCTTACCAGGCCCCTTTCCTAAAGGGATATTAACTCAACATTTTCAATCTACACATAACAGAGACCAGTTGGCTTCACCTGTCCTACCTGGCAAAAGATTATGGAAGATGAAGTAACTGCTAGGTAACTTTTATATTTTTTGGTGAAATAAATGTAAACAGAAATCCACCCTATCCAGTTAAATTATACAATATCTCTACCCACATCATAAAAATTTATTTCAGAAGAGTGTGTATGAGAGGTCACGATTTGATTCCTGGTCAGGTCACACGCCCAGGTTGGGGCTTGATTCCTAGTAGGCAGCATGAAGGAGAAAGCCAATCAATGATGTGCATCACTGATGTTTCTATCTCTCTCTCCCTCTCCCTCCCTCTCTGAAATCAATAAAAATATATATATATTATAAAAAGTGTTTAAAAATTAATTTCAGACTCTTTATTGTGAAATATGTCTGATTATGAAATCACTATGGGGCACAATCACACAACAGCACATAATGACTAGACCATAAAATGTGAATAATTCAATATTGTATTGTATTAATATGTATCAATTGGTAAAGACTCAACTCTTTACCAACAACAAATATGTGCACTCATCAATCTTTATGAATTTTACTTTTATTGAAGTGAAATAAATTACCCAATCAAGGGCCTTAAAGAGAGCTACCACCATAAAAGAAGAATCTGGGTACATTAAATTTTTTATAGACTTAGAAAAATAAGTCAAATTTATTTGTAACTGTTAGCTACCTAAAACCTTCTCAAATTGATTATATAAATTTTCAAAAATAAAAAGCAAAACAAAAAAATATTCAAGTCAAATTATTCTCTATAAAATAAAAATCATTACTGCAAAAAGAACCTTTCAATTAAAAAGTTAAGAGTCAGAACATGTCCATACTGTAAAAATCAAAACATTAAAAATTTGGTAGTTAGAAGAAACAAACCAAATATTTAGGATATTAAATTAAAGAATATGGTCAGATTTCAATGGAAATTCATTCATTGTTTTATAAAGTCTGCTAATAATGTTCACTGTTTCTAAATACTGTCACTTGGCTACTGAAATTCCAAAATACATTCTTTTAAAAAAATTCCACTAAAAAGTGCCTTAAGCCTTTTGGAATAGGGAACTTGATGTAATACATATTTTAACGAGTAAGTCTAAGTCAAAGATTTTCATGCTTGTATTATCAATTCACCTTGCTTTATTTTTCCAGTACTATTAATCTCCTTTCAGTTCTGAGAATGGAGTTCTTCCTACTTCTTAAGTATCCTTTCCTTCAACTGTGTGAGAATTATTGATCACAAACAAAATTTCCCAAATTTATTTCAGATTAAATAAGATTTTCAAATTAATTATAATTGTACAGAATTTTAAATTCAAAAGCAATATAAAGAAGACATCTATTTTTCGGAAAGAAATCCCACTAAATAGAGTATACCCTTGAAATAGATTTACAAAAGTAAAGCTGGTATGCCATTAAACTTATAACCACCAGAGGTCAGCATTGCTTTATATGATATGAATACATTCCAAATAGAAACAAAACAGAATAAAAAAAAAAAAAAAAAAGAATGCTATTTAACTGGTGGCTGATTTCTTAAAGATATTACCAAAACAACTTAATTTATAGCCTTTGTGATTAAAAAGTTAGGTATCATCTCAATTATCTCCTGTCCCTGAGCACTGACCCTAAAACACACTTTGTTTCCATACCATCACTCTATCACATGACTGTTTTATTTTCCTGTCAGTACTTAGTGCTAATAACCCAAATGTATCTCATGTCTTTATTATCTGCATCCACATCGATGTAAGCTTCATAAGATCTTGCTCACAGATACATCTCACAAATGGGCACAAAATTGCTACTCATTAAATATTACTGAATAAATAAAGGATATGCCTCATAAACACAACTCCTAGAATAAGAATCTGGTCAATTATACGGCATGTTCTAAAACTACAGTTTTCGCCCATGGGCTGCATACCCCAGTGAGAACTCATACAATGCAGATTTTAGTGCCTGTGGATGTTTTTCTGGGAAAAGAATGGCTTGCACCATATTCTTAAAGGAGTCTGAATTTCAAGAAGCACTTCTCTCTAGATGCAACTGCCCAGACCCCACTCCTGCTTCTCCATTTCCAATGAGGCCTTGGCCTGGGTGCTCAGGGCTGACCACTGGAGATACTGAAGTGGACACCATGCCACCAGTTCATGAGTGCAGGCAAAGAAGCAAAGAGAGACAATGTTATTTTAACACGTGGTACAGTGGAAAGGGGGGAAATAGCTATTGGTAATAACAACTGTAAATAATAGCAGATTCTAGGACTTAGCACATACATTAGTTCTCACAGATGATGTGAGCAAGTCATTTTTATCAATAAATTCAATTATCTGTTCTTAGAAAATTTACACCTTTAAAATGTTAAAGTATCTTTTCTGTCCTTGCTGCTCAGTGACTACAATTTCTTATACATTAGTTCATACCTCACTTGGAGTCTCTTAGGATCTAGATTACAGACAACACCTAAAAGAAGCTGATTAAGCTAACCAGATATTTAAATCATGTTCTGTCAATGCTTCCCTTTTTCTTGGCTCTTTCTTGATTATTCCTTATACAGTTTCCGTAAGACAGTATACTCTCACAAGTCAGATTCAGACACAATAATTAGGCAGCCAATCTAAAAGCTTTGAAGTCACATCTTTACTCTTAAATCCTTTGGAGATAAATGTTAAGTCCTGCTCCTAATGGATTCAAAGATTGTTGCTTTAAATATTGTTTGAGTAGGAAACAGGGACTATCATGACTCAAAGTCCTAAAATATGTAGAAAACATACTGGAAGGGCCAAGGCTTTGCTACTGACATTACACCACCATTTCCTATTTAGTCATTGCCTTTTCCTTCATCTAGAATTGGGCTTGTTTTCTTAGATTATGTCATATACTTCTTTCTCACAGATATACCCGGAAACTGAAGCATGTTTCTCGGTTTGGATGTCAAGTTCTCATCGGTCCCTCCTACAGTGATTCACTGGCTCATCCTTTGGCTGAGAGACTGTTGGCAACCTACTATACAGTTAGGACGCTGGAACCTAACTTCTGCTCATTGGGCAAAGCTGATGAGAATACAGAAAATACCTTTTATAGCATGATTCTTTGACAAAGGATATTTCCCCTAAAATATATATCTGATACATTTTAATATCTCTGGATCTCTTGATTTTTAAATTATAAACTGTTTAGCCAAGAAGAGTTTAGACCAGAGAGCAAGACCACCCACAAACTATACTAACTAGAAACCCGCACACCTATCCTCATCTTTAATTTCTTCCTCTCCATCCACATACAATTAGTCCCTCAAGTCTAAAATGAATTTCAAAAATGTCTTACTCTCTTATGCTGGCTTAGTTTGGAACACTGTGTCCCCATCATTGCTAAGAGCCTTTGAACTGACTTCCCAGTCTAAGTCTCCCTCTCTCCATTCTGCCATCGAAGGTGTATAGTTGTGAGTACGCAAGACAGAGTTCATTCTTGTATTATTATTTATTAATTACTTTACTATTTTCCATACAAACATCTATGGCACCCTTTCCTCTGAAATCTCAGCAATGTCTCTACAGAATCTACGGCAGTAAGTCCGCACAACTCTTAAATTTGGTTGCAACCTATTTTCACTCTCCTCTCAGTCTCATCATTCATGAGGCTTCCTTTCCAGGCAGCCTACACTGTGCAAGAAAGGAAGGTTTTCTATAATCTGCTGAATCCCAGGAAGTGACATAAGCCTCAAAATTGTTGCCAAAAATTATTTCCTAAGGTTCAATCTGATTATACCATTTCTTAGCTTAAAAGGCACAGCTTTCATTGCTGTACTGAGAAAGATAATGTTCAATTTTTTTTTTAACCTGGCCACTAAGTCCCTTTGAGACTGGACACTTAGCTTGTCCATTCCAGTTTCCATTAAAGCACTCACACATTATATAGCCTCATGGGTTATTCCTTGCTCAACCTCTTCTCTCTGACTACCACCCATCAACTTTGCCAAACCATACTTTAATATATATATATATATATATATATATATATATATATATATATATATAATTATTATTTTTTTACTTTTTTACAGAGAGGAAGGGAAAGGGAAAGAGAGTTACAAACATTGATGAGACAGAAGCATTGATCAGCTGCCTCCTGCACACTCCCTTACTGGGGATGTGCCTGCAACCAAGAAACATGCCCTTGTCCGCAATCAAGCCTGGGACCCTTCAGTCCCCTGGCCGACGCTCTATCCAGTGAGCCAGATCGGCTAGGGCCATACTTATCTTTGAGAACCAGTAAAGTATATCTTTACCGCTGAAGACTTCTCCATCTTCCCAGCTAGAAGTGAGTACCCCAGTCTCTGAACTTCAACAACCCTATATCCTACATAGTGCTAATTCTGCAACCCCTGTACTAGACCAATGATTCTCAATGATGGCTGTTCCTTTCTGGAAGGAATGATGAGAGTGCTATTCTTTATGTTACCTGCCTTGAAAAAAATTCTCAGTAAAAAAGGCAAAACCTTGTTACTAATGAAGAATTCACTTTATATCAAGGAGAATAGAGTACTTTCTATCATTCAGAAATTATATATTTATCCCATGAGGTACTATTCTAGGAAACACGAGACTCATTCTAATTAACGGGATGCATTGAGAGGGATCTCTGTCAATCACAGGTAAGAAGAAAGAGAGGAAGTCAGAAACAAATTCTAAATATAAGTCTAAGTAGGTTCCTTCACCAATAATAAAATGGGAAAGAGAGAAGCACACGTTGCAATTTAGAAAAAGAAATCATGTCGAATCACAGACTAATAATATGAGGAATGCAATCATAAACTTGTAGAAATGTAAGAATAACCCTCATGAAAGGAAAGGCAAAGGTTTATGTGTTTAGTTTTCAACTAGTGAAGGGTTAGGAAAGTTCTAAAGCTTTCTGTAACCTATCTGGAATAAAACTTTACTGAAATGATGGATAGACATTCATTTTTTTTAAATAACTGCTTTAGTAAGATATAATTCACATATCATAAAATCCACCCTTTAAAAATGTACGATTCAATGGTTTTTACAACAGTACAGCAATAATCACCACTATCTAACTTCAAAACATTTTCATCACCCTAAGGAAACCACACTGCCTATTAGCAGCCACTCCTACTCTCCTCTTCTCTGCCCTAGTATCCATTGTCTGCTTCCTGTCTCTATATATCTGCCTCTTCTGGGAATTTCATCTAAATGGAATTATATAATATGTGGCCTTTGTGTCTACTTCTTCCACTTAGCATAATGTTTCCAATGTTAGTTTTTATACTGTTAACTAGTCGTCCATTGTATGGATAAACCACATTATTTATAGTTAATTATCCTATATAATAAAAGCCCAGCAATCAAACGGGCTGAACAACCAGAATGACCGACCAGTCAACCAGTCACTATGATGCGCACTGACCACCAGGGGGCAGACACTCAACACAGGAGCTGTCCCCTGGTGGCCAATGCGCTCTTACAGTGGGCCAATCCCCAAAGGCCATGCTCCCCCCCCCCCCCCCAGTGCACAAATCCTGTGCACTGGGCCTCTAGTTTATTAATAATTTAAAAGGCATACTGTTTGAGACAATGGAGATCTAAAGATGAAAAAAGCCTTGTTTGTAAGAAATTCAAGAAGTTTCAGGAAGTGGGAAATGGATAAAGAGAATAGAATATTGATGGCAGAATGGAACCAATAAGTTATAGACTTCAGAATGGAAAAATGGAGCTGGGAAAGCCAGGCAGGGGCCAAACTGTGAAAGGTGTGACAGGCCTTGGTACATGATGTTCCAAGCACCATAGAACCTTTCCTTTAGGAATAACCTTCCCACAACTTACTTCCTTTTTCTCTCATCTTCCAACACCTACATAAAGAATCCCGAACCCATAAACATCCACACCCATCTCAACTAATTCAATTACAATGTCATTCTTCAAATTCCCTTCCATAAAGCATTCTCTGATCATCCTGTCAGTAAGTAATCTTTCTCTTTATATCTTCTCCATAGCATTTAGTCATACACTGATGTATGCTAATACAATTGCAATCTTCCTGACTGGTGTGTACTATACTGAAGGGCAAACGTTTTATCAGATATTTCTGAAATCCAAGCAGTGTAATTGTTGAAGAAATAAATGAAAAAAATAAAAATATATATATAATAGCTTTGGTTGATAGCAGGTCTCTTGGAAGATGTGAACAGAGAAACAGCCAGTTTCAGTGAAGAGTCGTGAGTATGGAAGTAAAACTATGGGACAAGGACGAAAGAAGTAGAGCATGGGAAGAGCACAGATGAGAAAGGCCACAGGCAACTGGAGAGAAGAGATAAACTGGGGTGATAATAACTACTGCCAACTGCCGGACAAAATACCAGTGTTTTATCACATTTAACTTTCTCAGTCCTATGAGGTAGATATTAGCAGCCTCACTAGAGGCCCGTGCACAAATTTGTGCATGAATTTGTGCAACCAATTAGGGATTGGGCCTGTCAGAATGAGGAGATGGCGGGAGGTTGGCCAGCAGGCCTGCCCCAATCGGGGCCGATCTGGGCCCCATCAGGGCTGGGCCGGTGGGGGAAGGTGCGCCTCGGGCGATTGGCCAATGGACCCCACCCCCAAATGGGGTAAGGGATGCCAATTGGGGGGCCAGCGGACCATGGGAGGGGCCATGGGTGGTTGGCTGGCTGGCCCTGCCCCTGATGGGGTGAGGGGGGCAATCTGGGAGGGGGCATAGGGAGGGGCTGCAGGAGGTTAGCTGGCCAGCCTCGCCCCCTATTGGGGTGGGGGGTGCAATCCGGGGTGAGCCAACCAGGGGGGAAGAGCTGAGGGCCTATCATGGTGATCAGAGACAGCACTGGCCCAGGTGAAGAAAGAGGGCATTTGGCTATAGGCCCACTCTTGATCCGGGTGGGAGAGTCCGATTAGGAGCAGGCAGGCAGAGGCGAGGGGCCTCGAGGTTGGCCAGCCAGCCCCACCCCCTAATTTGGCTGCTTGGTTGGCCACAATGGATGTCATAATGACTGATCATTAGGGCTGTTACAATCACTGGCTTTATATATATATAGAGAGAGATTTGACAGAAAAAGAAACAAGCCTGAAGAAGGTAACAAAGTGGCAGTGGTAGGGTTCTACAAGCTTCTAATTAAAAAGGACTTGTGCATTCTAATTGGCCACGCTGCCACCCTACTTCTAACTATACGCAGGACTGCACACATGAGCATAAACTGCTGTTTTTATTCCTGACATAAAAATACACAAGGATGTAGTTGACTATTTTATATCCTGCAATCCACTAAACCAAGTCATACCATCAATAAAACCCAGCACCAAAAGGTTGCCAGTTTGATTCCTAGTCAGAGCACAAGCCCAGATTGCATATTTGATCCCTAGTGGGGGAGGAGGGTAATTCCGGAGGCAGCCAATAAATGTGCTCTCACAACATTTCTCTCCCTTCCTCTCTCTGAAAATCAATAAATATTCTTAAAAAAAAAAAGAAAGAAAGAAAGAAAGAAAGAAAGAAAGAAAGAAAGAAAGAAAGAGAAATATCCACATAAATTTCCTCATCTTGCAGCCAGCAAAGGAGAATTATTTTGGAAATTATGTAAGGTTTGCTTTTGATATGAATAGAACGTTCTAAAATTTATTAATCTAAGAAGCAACTTTCTTTATTCACTCCAAGGCTGACTCAAAAATTATCCTGAAACTGAGAGGGGCATTTTAGACACAGCATAACAACTAAAGGCAAAGGTCAGCAATAGTTAAATTCAACATGACCTCAACTGATAGAAATATTATCTTTTATAATATCTGAAACTAATAGAAAATAATTATATGAGGATTTTTCATAACACTCTAACAAGTATAGTTTATCACGAAATTTATCAACGCATACCATATGTTAACAATAGCAATATTATTAGTTAATAAGTGAAATACTGTTTTAGTAATAGTATTGAGGTTGGGGTGAGGGGTTTACTATGTGTATTTAATAATCACAAACAGGAAAAAAGAAAGCTTATCTCAAAAGCCTGTCTTTCTATCTAAAATAGCAAATAAAGCCTCTGTGTTGTAAAACAAATACACAAGCACAAGCAGGATTGGTGTATCTACTCAATTAAAAAATGCACCCAAATCTATGTTACTTGAAGCAAAAGTTGAAGCAGGCAAAAAAGCTCCTCAAACAGTGATTTCTTGCTTTTAAGAACTAATGTAAATGATATCAAATACTTTTCAACATCTTTTTCAAATTATAATGTCTATGTTGAAAGGTATGTTTTTAAAAAACACAACATGGTGCTAAAAATCTTTGAAATTACAGACAACGGAGCTATTTCTGCCTGCCTACACTTAGGAACTCACCACATGTTCAACACTTTCTGGCAGCTATACACACAGAGGAAAAAAAAAAAAATACAAGGAAAAAAGAGAGAGAAAAAGAGAGAGATCATCAGAAACAGCCCACATTGAAATTATCATATTGTTTTTCAAGCTTAATTTTTTCCCAGGTAGCATTATAATTTAAACTCACAAAACACTAAGTTAAAACTAATATTAATGCATGCAACATTCTATAAAATTTTAAAAATTTTATTCTTATGCTTAAAGAAAAATGAGAATCTATAATATAGCAATAATTTTCATGCATCAACACTCGTAAAAATATGCAATTGATTCTAAATAAGAATTTGAGAATAGTTCTTAAATAACTATTCGTATTAAAATATTTACTGAAATAGCACAATTCTAAAGGGATTAAAATAAACATATCACTTATTTTAAAGGCACCTAATTCCTTGAAAAAATATTCCTGAAATAATTGTACATGACTATCAATGTTAAGACATGCATAGTTTCAGAACAAAAAGTTACTCAAACAAGCAAAACGAACACATACTTGGTTTCATCCATCACTTCTACTTCCGTAGGGGCTGTGATGGGTGCATTTGAACGTCCTGCAGTAGGGTCATCTGTGTTTAACTCTCCATTTGTAGAACTTACAACCTGCAAAAACAAACAAAGTTATATATGTGCAAAGTAACAGGTTATACAATGATAAATATAATTATGCTTACAATACTTCAATTAGAAAGTTAATATGAGGAACATAAAACAATATGTAGTTGTTCATAAGTGAACACGGTAATAGGCTTAGCATTTTAGTAAAGGTCAAGGTTTTCCAATATTTGCTTTTCAGCTTCCTTTTTATTTGAAATTTCTGTCCTTTGTCTCCTTCCTTCTGATTTTTAAAACTAAATCCTACATTTCTCTCTCAATCTCTTCTTTCTTATATGCTCACTCTTTTGGTACCTTGCTTCATCATGAATTATGTCCTTTGTAAACTTCAATATTGCTTCTTTCAATGAATCCTTCATTTCAATGTAATCATGCTCAGGTCTCCCTCTCATAATGCCCATTCATTCACCCAATTGTTGAAGCCCCAAATCCAGGAGACATTATGATTCCTCTTTTTGACTAATTTATCAGCAAGTCCTATTGTATCCTTCCAGAGATAACACTCAAAATCTAGTCAGTTCTCCCCCCTTTATTACTAAGACTTCAGTCCAAGCCAACAATATCTCTTGTGAGAATAAAAGGCAAAAATCTATTAACCAGCCTCCTGCTTTTACTTGTATCCCCTCCCCCATTAATGTATTTCTCACACAACAGCCAGAGTGTGCCTTTTAAGATGTAAATTAGGACATGTATAATTACCTGCTTAACAATCTTCAAGTGCCTGACATCCCACTTCATTTAGAATAAAGTTCCATGCTCTTTATACCAATTTACACAGCCCTATAATAAAAGATCTGAGCCTTGCCTACCTCTGACATCATACAACTTTCCCCTTTTGCTCAACAGCCTCCATCTAATATTGTCAAGCTTATCCCTACTCTAAGGCCTGGGCTTATCTGTTCTCACTGCCTCAATTCCCTTCATCCTTACTAGCTATCTTCTTATCTTTTAGATCCTCAGATAATGGCTCTAAAACAGGCCTTTATATCATACAATCTAACACTTCCATGCAGACACTCTCTTACATATTATATTCTATTTTTAACTCTTTGTATAACATTTATCCATGTTGATGTTTTTCTGATTGATTTTGTTTTTAACAACCACATCCACCTCCATAAAAATTCAACTCTGTAACAGCAAGAAACCTGTTATTTCCTATTACACATCTTTAATCTACCTGGCATAAAGTAGGCACTCAATAAATATTTGTTGAAATAAATGCAAATCCTAAAACAAGATAAAAACTGTAACAAAGCTCCCAAATTTACTTGGTCCTACAAATTCACCATCCTGTATTACTTCTTGCCTTCCCCAAAATTTCTTGAAAACAAGTCTTAAATTTCCATTTCAATTTTTAGAAAATTTTCCCATTCACTTATTCCGTAACTCCTTGCAAATGTATTCCGCCCCTATACCAGAACTCTAAAAGTTTTCTTGCACAATGATTCCTAGAAAACATATTCAGTGATCTTTGTTCAATCCTCATTCTCCAATACATTTTTATCACTTGGCACTAGCTGGATACTTTGGAATAAGTTGGGTCTAGATTCAAAACCTAACTCTGCCACTTATCAGCTACTGGACCTTGGGGAATATACCCTATTTTGCTAAACCTCAGTGTGCTCAACTATGAAACTGGAAACAGTAGTATCTATTTAGCAAGGCTGCTTAAGGACAAAATGAAATCAGTTTATAAAGTACAATGACTGGCATGTAGTAGAGTTCAATAATTGGTGGCCATCATTATTACTGTCAGTCTCACCTATAATGATGACTTCAACTATCACCTCTAATAAAGGATTCCCTGAGCCTGAAAAAGTTTGCCACTTCAAATTCAGTATTTCCAAAACCAAATTTATCAGAACCTCTTGAATTTGCTACTCTTCCTATGTTTCCATCTTCCCAAACCTCCAGGCTCAAAATCTAAGAATCAGCTTTGATGATTCCCTTTAATCTCTTTGAGGGGAAAAAAAAAAAAAATGCTAACCTATCAAAGGCCTGGGTGCCAGAGGTGCAGCCGATGACTAAACTTAAGAGTACTTTCTACAGAACCTCATATTTCTGAAATCTAATGCATAAGTTCTCACTCAGAGGCTACAACATGCCAGGCATTGTTCTAAGAAATTGGAGTAACATAGTTAAAAAGACAGACAAACACCCTCAGCTGTTGTGGAACTCATTTTCTAGTGTAAAGAACAGATCCCTCTCTCTCCAACTTTAAGTAACTAGAAATCAACCAATATGCCTGGATTAATTCAGGAATTATGGAATGGGGTAACAAAGTCCTATAAAGTTGGCTTCTTAACACCAGTGACTTGTGAGTATATCATAGCATCAAAATTGTTTTCAGTTAAGCAAACTAGTGGTCTTTTGGCAAATGGATTTACAAAGAAGAAACAAAGACAATATTATAAACTAGAGTCCCCCTCAAAGTCTGGGAGCCCTCGGAGGATATCCAACTGATGGCTTAGGCCCACTCCTCCCACCAATGCCCCACTCACCAGTCGTGAGCCCAGCTTCTGGCTGAGCGACACTCCCCCTGTGGGAGTGCACTGACAACCAGGGGACAGCTTCTGCGTTGAGCGTCTGCCCCCTGGTGGTCCGTGTGTGTCATAGTAACCAGATGTTCCACCAGTCATTTCGTTGCTAAGTCTGCCATTTGGTCAGTTTGCATGTTAGGCTTTCAACCGAACAGCAGAATGACCAGTCACTATGACATGCACTGATCACCAGGGGGCAGATGCTCAACACAGGAGCTGCCCCCAGCCCACAGGCTCCAAGCCAGCCACGGCAGGTGCCAGCAGGGGAGTCTCCCACCATCCCACTGGTTGCCCCACAGATCAGCCCTGATTGCCAGCCAGGCCTAAGGACCCTACCCATGCTCAAATTTTGTGCACTGGGCCTCTAGTATATAATGATGTGTCATCATATTTCCTAGAAACCTAAATCAAACAAGCAATCAAACAAATATATACAAATTATTTTTATAAGCCAAATTCAAAAATTATTCCAGTTAAGTGACATTTCTAGAATTTTAACTCAAACTAGAACATAAAAGTCTCTAAAACATTAGTGCTCATCAGGCTGATTTCCGTAATGAAAGTTTATATAAAAATGACAGTAGTATTTGAGGTTTGACATTTGAAAAAATGATTCAGGTATCTTACAGAGTTTTTTGTTCTTGTTCTCAAATTTTCTCTGATATTCCCACTCTGATAAGAAACTTGGTGCAGTTCTTAAGATATTTAAAAAAAAAAAAAAAAAAAAAAAAAAAAAAAAAAAAAAAAAAAAGGGCAACCAGGCTGCAGTCTTCCTATTAGAACATCAGAGTTTAAGGGAAGAGGTGGGGAAACAACCTGCAGCTAAGTGTGGGAGGAAAATGATGATTCACTTAATGGCTGCCTGCCCAATCTATTTCCAATCTAAAAGAAGTCATTCTCACAGACTATGAGTACAATCAAAGATAACACATGGTATCTGTGTAACCAATGACTGGAAAAGGCCAACTAATATACTTTTCAAATATAATGAATTCATACAAATCATTATAGTATCTTCCTAATTCTATTTGAGTTCTTGTAAACATGTGATTACTAAGTGATCAATACAGGCTCAATATATTATTTAACAAGATTTTCATCTACCCAAAAATATGTATTAGAAATATTAAAACATTATATAATTTACGTATGAACTCAGTTTTTTCTAAAAGTCATCTATTTCCCTAGCCCAGTGGTCAGCAAACTCATTAGTCAACAGAGCCAAATATCAACAGTGCAATGACTGAAATTTCTTTTGAGAGCCAAATTTTTTAAACTTAAACTTCTAACGCCACTTCTTCAAAATAGACTCGCCCAGGTCGTGGTATTTTGTGGAAGAGCCACACTCAAGGGGCCAAAGAGCCACATGCAGCTCGCAGGCTGCAGTTTGCCAACCACAGCCCTAGCCGGTTTGGCTCACTGGATAGAGTGTCAGCCTGCAGACTGAAGAGTCCCAGGTTCGATTCTAGTCAGGTGCATATACCCAGGTTGCAGGTACAATCTCCAGTAGGGATGTGCAGAAGGTAGCCAATCAATGATTCTCACTGATCAGTGATGTTTCTATCTCTCCCATCCCTTCCTCTTTGAAATCAATAAAAATATATTTAAATAAATAAATAATAAATAGTCATCCTATCTAATAAAGAGGAAATGTGCTAATTGACCCTCATGCCTTGCAAAGATGGCAGTACCCACAGCCAATAAGGAGGGAATATGCTAACTGACTGTCACACCATCAAAGATGGAAGTGCCCACAGCTACAAGATGGCAATCCCCTCAGTCCTGCTAGGACAACAGGCATGCAGCAAGGTCGAGCCTGCCCCCAGGCAGGCCCAGCTACTCCACACTCCTGCCTCCAGAGTCCCCATTCCCCTCAGCCCCCCAGCCATCCAGGGCTGGCCCAAGGCACAGGCAAACCTCAGATGTCAGCTGCTCAGCTGCCCAGGGCCAACCCAAGGCGCAGGCAAGCCTCAGATAGTGTCTGCCCAGCTGCCCAGGGCTGTCTTGAGGCTCAGGTAATCAAAGCAGAGGTGTGATGGGGCATCACCTCCTAAGTCTCAGGGCTCCTAGACTTGAGAGGGGACAGGCCATGCTAAGGGCCTCTAGTCTATCTATAAACTAGCTTGTTGAAGAAGCATTGAGTTAGCAAATCTGTCTGAGGTAGGGGATGTCAAATAAAATATAGGACACCCAGTTAAATTTGCATTTCTGTTAAACTAGAGTAATTTCCAAAGAGTTTATCAAACCTGACCTAGGGTGCACATGTACTATACAAAACCAACTTTCTTATATACAGTAGGTCCTCGGGTTACGTCGGAGATCCTGAGAACCCACTGTACAATGCGACGTAACGCATATTTTCACCATAAGTCAGAATGCACCAACATCACTCACATGGAGCACATACTCAGCAGTAATAAAATGAAACAGTAAAAAATAATTAAA